AATTTTTTTCGCAATTTATGTGCATATCATGTTCCTTTTTTCATAATTGAATTGATGAATTTTCTAATCTAAGCTCTAATTTTTCATTTTGTATTACAAATTTATGTTTTCGTTTCTCTCTTGTACGGCTTATATATTTTTGTCGATACAATTAAAAAAGTATGAAAATCTCCTATCATATAGCAAATTGGTCCCCTCTAGCTCAATTGTTTTGCTTTAATCTTTTCAAGATCCATGTGAAAATAACCATGTTTGAACGAACACCAACTAATACCTAGTCGATAAATTTCACAATCGAAATATCATTTTTTCAATGATAATTAGTCTAACTATAATCATTCCACAATAATTGACAACACACGATTCTATGAATAATATCACTATTTATTTTATGGATACATGTTTTGACTTTTGACTAAAGTAATTAAGAGTGCAACATTATTAGAATCAAAACCCTAAAAATTATAAATAATGGTCGTTATATTAATAAGAGAATTATTATAAGAATTGTCATCTAAATAAAAATTACGATATACATTTAGAATTATATAGTTTCAAATTCTTCGTAGGATACTCAATCGTTCATCATAATTAATAGTTTAGAAACAAAGGACGAAATATAAAATGTGTCACGGATACTTTAACTTGCTTAATTAACAAACTAATTTTTTACTCGATATCACATAAATATTCATTATTTATATTTAAATTAAAACATTAAGGACTAATTTAAAATTAAGCAGATTAGAAATATTTTAGTCTCACGTGATTGTCACGTGATATTAATACAATATATTATTAATTTTTTTTTTATAAAAAATAATGTTTAAATTATTTTAAAAAATAATTAATTTAATAAATTGATTGAAAAAGAAATTAAAAAAAAAAATATCTACATCTATGAACTCAGCCTCCATGGAAACAGCAACTGTTTTTTGACCATTAACAGGTGTCTCTGCTTGAATATTCTTCATGGTTTTTTAAGAATTTCCAATGCAAATTTTCAAATAATGATGATGTCTTAGAATTTATCTAGAGGGAGTAAAATTAAGAGTTGCTTAATTATAATTAATTGGGTCTCAATTAGATTTAAAACTTAATTAAAAATGTAAAGTAATTAGTAATTATTTATTAATATTAGTAAAGATATATCTAATAACTTAATCATATTAAATGTGAATTGACCATTATTTTTATAATTTGTTGTAAATTATTGTTGTTAAACGTTAAATGATAATTTGGGTAAAACTTTTTTTTAAAAATCATAAGATGCTTAAAATATAATAAATTTATTATAAATTATACAACATCAATAATTGTATAAGATCATAATAAATAGAATATATTAGACGTTGGAAGTGAAAGCGCCTGAAACATAATGTGAATTGGAGGTCTTATTCGAGAAAAATAGCCAAGGTAAGACATTTATAGTAAAACAAAAATTAGTCACGAACTAGAAAAGACATTGATAGTTATTTTTTTCTAACTCACAATCCAATAATCTTATTTAAAATATAGTGAAATGGCAAAAAAATTGAAATACTCCTTATTAATAAATCAAAATTTAGACCAATAATAATTTGTTGGTCTTTGCCGATGATTAGTTACACTGGAACTGAGACACGACCCAATCTCACACCGGAGACAGAAGTAGGGGTTCTTGGACAATGGTCGAAAGTTGAAAGTAATTTTAATATTTATAATCATATTTAAAAAAAAAAAATGTGAACGAGCACTATATTATTTACATCATAGATTAGTCCACATTAACTATGATGTTAATGGTAAATGCTTGATTTTATTAAACACTAACTTAGTAGATAATACAACAATTTATATAATTTTAAATTCTTGTATGAATTCTCCTTGTGTATCAAATAAATATATATGTATTAATTGTGTAAAATTATTCATTAATTTAATCCCCACATCATATTAAAACACATTAATTTTGATTATCTTTTGTTCGTAGATGAATGTTTAATTTTTTATTCAAAATCTCTCGAGAAACAACTTTTTCTCAAATTTTATGATAGAACTCGAATTTTGTTATCTCGTCCTCCTATTCTAAAAAGAGGGTTTTCATACATTATGTAAATATTGTAATGTAAATTACTCTTCTAAATTGGTTTTATATCAATTGTATATAAATATTAGATTGTTATTATATTAGTAAAATAATTCTATTACAAATCCTTAAACCCACCATTACCAATAATTATTGCAAGTCACAAAACAGCTTAACGATTCTGAATCTTGGTCAAGATTTTGGCACATCAAAAAATTAGTACAGCCTCCTTAAAATTAATCAAATTTGATTTTTAAATTCAACATTTCTAGAAACATCCACTTTTTTCAAACCCAATTAAATTAACATAAAAAGAACTTCGTAATTCAAAAATTACATAAAAATCAGTCACGTAAAGTAGAGATTAAAGAGTATAGGGTAAGTAATATAATAATATAATGTACATATATATATACACACACACACATAATAGTGAGAAAAGAATTAATATATATATATTGCAAGTGGGTAATTAAGCACATGTATGGTGGAAAAAGGGAAGTGCCTAACCATTGTAGCAGTCAAATCAAGTTTGCTACCAACTCCAATCTCTACGAAATTCCTAATAATATTCTATTAATTCTATTTTAATTTTTAATATAGACATATTGTATGGAGATATATAATGACTGTATAATTACCCTTTACTCATATAATCCATATATTTAATGCTTTAATCAGAATATTTAGGATATATAGTTTTATTCATGCATGAACTTTTTCTAATTGAATTAAATGAAAAAAAAAAAATTAATACCAAATTCTCATTATAAAATGTATTTAATTAACGATAAACAAAAGTTTATTAAATCGGACTAATTAAATATTATTAGAAATAGTGTCAGAAACTTGACCTATCTTTTTGAAAGTACTTAAAACTTAAGATGAATTAGTATGTAATTAATTAATTTAAACACCTTTTTTTATTAAAAAAAAATAGTGTTGAATGTTTAAAAGAAGTGAAGTAATTACTTGGGAAATGATTAGAGAGGATTAATTATAATTATTTTTTAAGATAGATTAATTATGTAATTATTACAAGAAGAATAGCAGACAGTGTGGGCGGAGCTCACAGGCCAGAGCCTTCCAAAATGGAGTCAGCTTTCGCGTCGCTGCGCTGCCCTTCCCTTGCTTTTTCAATTTGTCGGCAGAGGTTCTATTACGTACCCCCCTTAGTGCACGCATGTTTCGTACACCTAATTCTCCAAGCACAGTATTTACAAAAAGAAAAAACTTTATTTTTTCTAGAAAGAAAAAGAAGCACCTTATGTCATGGGGGGAAACCAAAAGGCACAGAAATTTCATAAACTCTTGTAGTCAAACTATGATTGGATGTAAGATAATCCTTATGGTTATTTTCTTCTTGCTCTGAGAAAGTAACATATAAATGCATGCGCATTCAACAAAAAGCAAAAGAGAGGAGAAAATAAAAAAAAAGAAAAGAAAGAAAGAAAGAAAGAGAGCCACTACTTCCCGAAAATCGGGTTACGATATTCATGTATATATACACTGTAGACAAACACAACCTTCCTGTATAGAATATATAAGATTCCTGTCTGGATATATATGTGTATATTAGATGATGATAGGAAGAAAGTTTATGGAGGACGGTAATTATGATTATAATCTTGGGAAGATTAGTTGTTGTAGTAGTAGTTCTTCAAGTATTGCCAGTTCTTCTCCAAAGACAAAAGGGCCGGCTCCATTTCTGTTGAAGACTTATGAGTTGCTTGAAGAAGCTGATGATGGTCATGATCATCAACAGGTCATGTGGTGTGGATCAGACCAGAATTTTAATGGAGATTATGAGAAGAATAGACTGGTTTCATGGAACGCAGAGGGAAATGGGTTTGTTGTGTGGAATCCGGCCGAGTTCTCCGACCTCTTGCTGCCTAAGTATTTCAAGCACAACAACTTCTCTAGCTTCATTCGCCAGCTTAATACCTACGTGAGTTATATATATAATACTATATCTATAGATGATTTATCCTCATAATCACTAGATTGATATATATATGTGTGTGCGTGTATATATAGAGTAATCAATTTCCTATATATAAATGTGTGTTAGTCTGTTTATATATTTGCTTTTCATCATATACTTTACCCTTTTAAAGAATTCCTGTAAAGCACAATAAACTGTTTAAGTTATGTATATATACATACCTACACATATTATATACCCACTCATCATATTCATTCTACTTAAACATTCAAGTGGTGCACATATATAATCATAAATAATTGGAAGCTGCATATATATATATATATATATGTCACCTCAATCCCTGTTAATTGTTTCTGTTGCAATTACTAATCGCCAAGGCAGGGATTCAAGAAGACATCATCAGATCGATGGGAATTCAAGAACGAAAAGTTTCGAAAGGGTTGCAAGCACATGTTAATGGAAATCACGAGAAAGAAGCATGAGCCAAGTGTATTTCCGACATACCTACGAGCTTCTCCTCGTGAAGAAAACAGTAATAACAACAACAATGGAGATGAAAATAACGGTTTGACATTAATGATGGAAGAAAACAAGAGTTTAAAGAGAGAAAAATTGGAATTGCAAATGCGAATCGCACAGGTTAAATCATTAGAGATAAAGTTATTAGATTGTCTGGCTCAACATGTTGAAACCCAACAAAATAAAGAAAAGAAGGTTTAATTTTTTTTTTTAGTTTTATCAATTAAATAAATAAATTAAAACATTTTCTGTTTTTTTTTTTTGTATTTTATATAGTGTTTTGGTCAATGGTCATGAAGCTTCTTCAATTTTCTTCTTAGACTTTTCTTGGAAGAAATAAATTGAGTTTCCATTTGTAATTATGAAGTTTCATCTCCTTTTCGTACATGAATTAAACTATATGTTGACCATAACATAATTTATTATATATATATATATATTTTAACCTACCAATAAATTACTACTTTAAAGTTTTTATGAAATTAATTGATGATATTATATATATATATATATATATATACACACACACACACCCCTACCCACAATTAGAGGAACATGAAGGTATGATAATTTTAAAACTAGTATTTTTTTCTTAATTTCTTTCTTCAAGTTGGTTTTCTAATATTGTAAAATTTAAGATATATTTACTAATTCAATCTCTCTAATTTTCTTTAATTATAAATGTAATGGCTCGTGAACTCCAAATAAGATAAATTGTAAATTTAGTGCGGAAACGAAATAAATAGTTAGAGTTTACATTTCTTACACAATAATTCAAATTAACTAATAGAGTTACGGGAATGACTTTTTTAAAAGAAATAACAAAAAATTAAAGAAATAAATAGAAAATAAACAACTGGACATCCTACTCGTAACCCTCTTGTGGATCGATCTCTGGATCTTGGTTCTTTTGATATGAAATTGTTAATAAAAGAATGAGCTACACTAACCCACTAAAAATATCACGCTATTCACCGACACAGAAATGAAGGTTGGTAGAAATCATAAAAACAACTAATAGAGCTCTTAATTTAAGTAAATTCGTTTATCATGAATAAAATCATTTACCGCATACTTACCGTAGCGAGATTTATAAAAAAAACTAATTTATAAAGTCAATAATATAAACAATATTAAAATCTTTTATTCAATCAGTCAAAACAACAACTTTATCTTTTTTCAGTCTACTGGTATCCATGGGAGTCCATAGGGATGTTTTCAATGCGCGTGGACCTTTATTCAACATTTTCAAATAACGGACCATCCCCATACCCTGTCCAGTATGAGTACCAAAAGATACCATCCCTCAATACCCCATTCGGTATGAGGGTGAAATAGGTCATTCCCATACCCTGTTCGGTATGAGTACCAAATTACCAATCCTCGATACTCTATTCGGTATGAAATAATATTCACGGTAGGGTTCCTTATGTATCCGATCCGTCCACCATCTTCCAAGATATCCAGTAAGGCTGCCATTTATCCATCTACTTAATCAAATAATTTTCCGTTTACATTTAATTTTCAGTTTTTCAATTTAGCTATAATCACATAAAAACAAGCAATACATGCATATAAGAAACACAATCACATCATCATACCAATTCCAGTGTATTATCATGCATTCAAAAACTGTAAAATCAGGCAATTAGTTAAACATAACAAACAGTAATAAGTAACCAGTTCTGTCTCCATTAGTAACTTGTAATTAATTACGAATATTTTTTAAGTTTTAAAAAATACCATATTATTTAAAATTAAACTTCAATTCTATAACAGGGAATAAGGTGAGAGATTCTTACTTGAATTGGTGTCCGAATGTAAGTTTTTGATTGCACTTACTAGCGGTCCCCAGACTCCCTGAATTTTCTTTTGGGGGATTAAAACACGCTTCAAGTACCTAGAAATACCCCTAAAAATTCAAAATCAGTGTTAGAAACCTTTTTTGGCCAATTCTAAAATTCTGGCACAGCGGCTCCGCCGTGCTCTGGCGACATTACCACAGCCCGCAACGGTGGTTTGTCTCGAATTGGTTGTTTTCGACCGGTTAAGTACCAATCCCTACGAGAAAACACGTTAAGCGGCCTCGGTTGGCCAAAAAAAGTCAAAAAATCGAAGCTTACCGACAGTGAGGTTCTCCGGTACTGCGGCTCCGTCGGCTCACCTTCTCGATTGGGTGCTTTGTTTCAGTCAACCTGTAGAGAAAGGGATAGTAATTATAATAGTGAAAAAATTATACGAAATGGGAATCGGGAAGGGACTCATCGGAGGCGATTTTTACTTTTTTTGTGGAGGCGCCGTCAGGCTTTGCCTGCGATTTTCGACTCATCCACTGGTTCTTTTGCTCCAATTTGGCCATGAGGGTGTTCAAAATTGAATTTCGAGCGAATAAAATTTTTTTTTCCTTTTCTGACGGTCGGAAGTGGCTTCGGTGTGGTGGCAGGCGGTAGTTGACTCCCTTATCGGCGACTAATTCTTCTTCTCCGGCAGGGGGTCTGGCGGCTAAGGTTAGAGTTTGGTGTGAAAATGGTTATTTATATCAGTCTTTTTTTAATTTGGGCCATCAATTACATTTAATCTGGATCATCCGATCGCGTTTAAATAGAGAGTGAATCTGAACCGTTCATTACGATAACCATCCGATCGCGTTTAAAAGGGGAATGGATTCGGACCGTCAATGCCCGCGAGAACAAATCCAGACCGTCCGATCGTTGGCACACGGATCACCAATGTGGCCTCTCACGTGGCACTGCGTCATCGTGCCTTGCAACGCGGCGTGCTCCGGTTTATCGGGGCTGCTGACTGGACGTCTTACTTGGCACAATTTTCTTAAATTATGTTTTGATCCTACAGTATTTGATTTTTTTTTAAAACACCCATAGAACCCAAAATTTTACTCATCTTTCCCATAGTTGTTTTCAATTTCATCATCCATCTATTTTTCTTCATTTTTACATTAAATAAAATTTCAAAAATTAAAAGATTATATTTATACATTTATTTGAATTACATTAAAATTAATTAGGGGTATTACAACAAAATAAAAATTATAATAAAAAATTTAAATATTACACATTCTGAATCAAGACATCCTGACAAAATTGTCTCTGGTGATTTAAACGAGATCGACAAAAGACTGATGATGGAAGTAGAAACTAAGTGGGTCCAAAAAGCTATGGTTGGCCAAGAATACACACCATTTTTTTTTTCTTTATACATATTGAATCTGAATTGTCCAACATCTAACTAAACATATACTTATATCTTGAATTACAATTAGTCAATCTTTTTTATTGAAATTTTTGTTATTTAAAATAATTAATTTTAAAATTAATATTCTTGAAAATTAAGTAAAA